TTATTGATTGCAGTACCACTGGTGTCCACACAAAGCAGTTAAAAAAGAAAAAGAAAGCTCAAGTTAGATGATTGGTTACCTGTCATCCAATCATCAACAGCTGCTGCTGAGACAGCTTGGTTGATAATGATAATTTTTTCCAATCATTATGACAATTTTATTTTTTAATAGAACCATTAGCATCGCTCAGTAGCCTCTGCTAAGAAAGCTGTTTGTATTGATTAAGAAAAAACGGAAGAAACATTGTCTTTTTTGACTCTGGTCAGTGTTGATGATAAACAGTTAATCACCGTTTTTCCCCACAGGTGTGTGGAGCTCCTCGTCAACGAGCAGATGAGAAAATACCGAGCTCGGCTGAAGGACATCAGCAGCCTAGAGTTCGCTGAGAGCAAAGCCAAGAGCAGACTGACCCACATCAGGAGGTCCATGGTAAGACCTTGACCTGAAGCTAGAACAGCCCAGTGGACACATACAGTACTACAGAGTACTCTGGAGGTTTGATGTTCCTCTCATTCATCACTGACATAGTGATGGTTTTCAGCTCCATGAGCAGCTGCCATGGTTCCCACACAGCCATGGCAGGAGGTCACTCCTCTGTGTTCATTTGCACATTCACTCACAGGCCCTCCTCAAAACAGTAACAGCCGAGTCACCACAGAACAGGATGAAGATTAAAAAAAAAGAGAGAGAGAAAATCAAAAGAAATTTTCCTTCTTTACAGTGTTTGGTGTTTTTTGATGAATTTAAAAAAATATATTCTAAAAATTATTTTAAAAACGTAATGATGTTTTTATTTGTCATTACAGTAAAATAATCTCTGCAAACCAAATGACAGGTGGACTATTTTATCTTTTGAGTTTCTGAAACCAGCAATTTTTTATAAACAACTTTGCTCTTTGGGCTTATTCTATGGAAGCCTTATGAGGTGGTAGGTTGTTATTATGGAGTTAAACATACGAAGAGGCTGTAATGATTGGTCGGGCAGGTGAATAGATCTGAGTTGAATTTACTTTAGTGCAGCAGCCATGTGCTGCTAACATGGTTGACCATTAAGTGTTTCCAACTTTGTTTATTCCTTCCTTGGGTCTGATTTTCTTTTTTTAATCTAAAACCACAACCAATCAAATTTAGCCTGGTACTGGATACCAGGATACCACATCCCTAGTATCCAGACATCATCAAACCCATGCTGACCTGACTGACTTCACTGCTCCCTAACCCTGATCTGTCCTCCCTCCCTCCTTCTTCCTTCGTCCCTCCTTCCAGAAACCAGTACTAATTGCTGTTAGGTTCATGAGCATTACCCGCACTGCCACCCCGGTATGTATGCCCCGCTCACTTCGTGTGGCCCGACCTCCACCACCACCACCACCACCAGTCCTGTCCTGACCATCAGTCTTTTTACTCTGTCCGCTCATACGTGTGTCACGGTGCGCCTTCATCACGTCCGCCTGTTAGCTGTGTGACTCTCTGTGTTTATGTTAGTTTCAGGTCGTTGGTGCAGCGAGTCTGAACAAACGCTGGTTTTGGTCTGGAGATAATTTAAAGTGATGAAAGTACAACAACAGACGCATTGAAATATTTCACCCTTTTTTAACTACAGGGAGTTGAGAATTCTCCATGAGTTTTTATGATGATTTACTTAATTTTTTTTATACTTACAAAAAAGAAAATATTAAATGGTTATTAGTCATTATTCCTTTTATGCACACATCCCAGAGTTTGTCTCAAGATTAAAGTCCAAAATTTTCAATTTTTTTTCTAGGTCTTTTTTTGTGTCCAAAATAAGAAAATCTGATCTTTTGATCCTATTTGGTGGAAATCTGAAGATAAAGCAGAATAAGCTGACCAATTATATTTAACCATGATTGAAAGCCTGATCGTTCAATAGCTGTCAGTTTAAAATTAGCTAAACCAATGGTTGACTTTTTTTTACTTTGTGTTTCGTGTTTGTTAATGTTGAGGTTTCAGGCTAACTCTGTAGCGCCACCTAACTCTCTCCTTTTGTTTCTGCTTTGATACCAATTAACGTGCAGCCTAACACAGCTAAATCTAAGGTAACTTCTGTGTGTGTGTGTGCTCCTGTGTTGACTAGAACAGTGGTTTGGTCCGTGACTACATCTTCTCTCCTGCTGGTGTTAAATGTGTTTCATCACCATCACTGTCTCAACTGTAAACCCTGTTCTCCAAATCGGCCCGACTCACTCTTGCTCCGTGTCCTTTTGTGTCTGACAGAGCAAAAGCCGCGTTCGACAATGCAACCCCCACTCGTTCTCGCCTCCTCACAGCCCCAGAGCGCCCCCTGAGTTGGATGCAGAAAGTGCCGGAGGAGGAAGTGGAGAGGACGCTCCAGAGTCGGGGCTGAACGAGCAGCAGCAGCTGGAGATGCAGCAGGAGGAGCGGATCCTCACCGAGCAGATCGAGAGCCTGCAGAAGGAGAAGTATGATGTCATTTCCTGGATACAATCATCAAATTTTTTTTTTTTTTTTTTTTCTGAGACATCTGTGTCCTGAGTAAACCATCTGTGTGTGTGTGACTCTGTGCTTGTTTATTTGTGTGACCACAGGGAGGAGCTGACGTACGAGATGTTGATCTTGGAGCCTCGGGTGTCTGATGACGAAACTCCTGAATCTGAGGCTTCCATCGGGACAGCAGACAGCTCTGAAAACATAACCATGGAGACCATAGGAGCCGCCTCCAACGCCTCAGGTGTGTGTGTGTGTGTGTGTTTGCGTATATTTTTAATTTGCTTAAAGAAAATCCTTTGAAGAAAGACTGCAAACCTACACATCTGAGCTGTTGTAAGACAAACAAAAAATGACCTCATCTTTTATTTGCACAGAACACGGCACTTACCGCTCTAGGAAGTTGGAGACAAAAAGCAGACGAGCGCTCCGTCGTCAGCCAGACTCCCAGGACTCGGCAGATTCCACCTCCACCATCTCCTCCTCCTACCACCCGTCCTCCTCTCTCTCCTCCTCTAACGCCTCTGCCTCTCCATCCCCTCACTACCGGTTCCGCTCCTCTTCTTCGGGGCCCCTGCTCACTTCCTGTGGTTTGGGGGCCCCGCTGGCTGAGGCAGAGATGGGTCACAGATCCGGTAAGATTCAGCCCAGACTCAGACTGAGCCGCAGCTCACCACGCTGAGAGAGAAGTGTGTTTTGTTTTCCTGGATAAAATCCTCAGATTTTTTTTTTTTTTTTTTTTTGCTGAGACATCTGTGTCCTGAGTAAACCATCTGTGTGTGTGTGACTCTGTGCTTGTTTATTTGTGTGACCACAGGGAAGAGCTGACGTACGAGATGTTGATCTTGGAGCCTCGGGTGTCTGATGACGAAACTCCTGAATCTGAGGCTTCCATCGGGACAGCAGACAGCTCTGAAAACATAACCATGGAGACCATAGGAGCCGCCTCCAACGCCTCAGGTGTGTGTGTGTTTGCGTATATTTTTAATTTGCTCAAAGAAAATCCTTTGAAGAAAGACTGCAAACCTACACATCTGAGCTGTTGTAAGACAAACAAAAAATGACCTCATCTTTTATTTGCACAGAACACGGCACTTACCGCTCTAGGAAGTTGGAGACAAAAAGCAGACGAGCGCTCCGTCGTCAGCCAGACTCCCAGGACTCGGCAGATTCCACCTCCACCATCTCCTCCTCCTACCACCCGTCCTCCTCTCTCTCCTCCTCTAACGCCTCTGCCTCTCCATCCCCTCACTACCGGTTCCGCTCCTCTTCTTCGGGGCCCCTGCTCACTTCCTGTGGTTTGGGGGCCCCGCTGGCTGAGGCAGAGATGGGTCACAGATCCGGTAAGATCCAGCCCAGACTCAGACTGAGCCGCAGCTCACCACGAGAGCCCTCTGCCTCTCACCGCAGGGAGTCGGACTTCAGCTCGGGGCCGCAGCAGCTGGTTCTGTATGGCAGCAACGAGTTCATGGTTTGAAGCAGAGGAGGACAAAAAATAACGCCGCACGTTAGCTGTGAAAAAACAGGAGGGGGACTGGGTGTGTCTCAGTAGGAGAGGAGGGAGAGGCTGGTCAGGGAGCGAGGCCTGCTGCTCCTCGTTATTTTCACCTCCCTCCAATCACAGTCCAGCTCAACGCTGGAAGCTGCTGTCAAAAAGAAGCGAAGACAGGACCAATCACACAGTGGGGACAAAGCAACTGAAAAACAAATGTGAATAACACACAGTATAGAGTGAAGTTTGTTGACCTTCGGACCTCTGCTGTTTGACCCCTGCTGGAGAACCAGGGGAGACGGACGAAGGAAAAAAGATAAAGGTGGGCAAAGGAAAGGGAAGGTGAAGAAACGTAGGGAAAAGGAAAAAAAACAAACAAACAAACACTCCTGCAAAGCCAAATCCTGTTGTGCCCATCATTATTTTTGAGCATGTGGTCTTGTGGTTAAAGCAACCCGGAAGAAATGTAGCCAAACCTGAGTGAACTGGTCCACAAGTATGTTTTCTTTTCCTGGTTCAAACATTCAGTTTTTTTTTTTTTTTTTTTTTTGCTGAGACATCTGTGTCCTGAGTAAACCATCTGTGTGTGTGTGACTCTGTGCTTGTTTATTTGTGTGACCACAAGGGAAGAGCTGACGTACGAGATGTTGATCTTGGAGCCTCGGGTGTCTGATGACGAGACTCCTGAATCTGAGGCTTCCATCGGGACAGCAGACAGCTCTGAAAACATAACCATGGAGACCATAGGAGCCGCCTCCAACGCCTCAGGTGTGTGTGTGTTTGCGTATATTTTTAATTTGCTCAAAGAAAATCCTTTGAAGAAAGACTGCAAACCTACACATCTGAGCTGTTGTAAGACAAACAAAAAATGACCTCATCTTTTATTTGCACAGAACACGGCACTTACCGCTCTAGGAAGTTGGAGACAAAAAGCAGACGAGCGCTCCGTCGTCAGCCAGACTCCCAGGACTCGGCAGATTCCACCTCCACCATCTCCTCCTCCTACCACCCGTCCACCTCTCTCTCCTCCTCTAACGCCTCTGCCTCTCCATCCCCTCACTACCGGTTCCGCTCCTCTTCTTCGGGGCCCCTGCTCACTTCCTGTGGTTTGGGGGCCCCGCTGGCTGAGGCAGAGATGGGTCACAGATCCGGTAAGATTCAGCCCAGACTCAGACTGAGCCGCAGCTCACCACGAGAGCCCTCTGCCTCTCACCGCAGGGAGTCGGACTTCAGCTCGGGGCCGCAGCAGCTGGTTCTGTATGGCAGCAACGAGTTCATGGTTTGAAGCAGAGGAGGACAAGAAATAACGCCGCACGTTAGCTGTGAAAAAACAGGAGGGGGACTGGGTGTGTCTCAGTAGGAGAGGAGGGAGAGGCTGGTCAGGGAGCGAGGCCTGCTGCTCCTCGTTATTTTCACCTCCCTCCAATCACGGTCCAGCTCAACGCTGGAAGCTGCTGTCAAAAAGAAGCGAAGACAGGACCAATCACACAGTGGGGACAAAGCAACTGAAAAACAAATGTGAATAACACACAGTATAGAGTGAAGTTTGTTGACCTTCGGACCTCTGCTGTTTGACCCCTGCTGGAGAACCAGGGGAGACGGACGAAGGAAAAAAGATAAAGGTGGGCAAAGGAAAGGGAAGGTGAAGAAACGTAGGGAAAAGGAAAACAAACAAACAAACAAACACTCCTGCAAAGCCAAATCCTGTTGTGCCCATCATTATTTTTGAGCATGTGGTCTTGTGGTTAAAGCAACCCGGAAGAAATGTAGCCAAACCTGAGTGAACTGGTCCACAATTGTCTTTAACCAGCGCCAAGTTAGGTCTGCTGTTCACGTTTACGTCATCCATTAGATCTGAAGAAACTGTACAGGTATATGTTACACAACTGTACATTATTATTATTATTGTTATTATTATTATAATTATTATTATTATTATGTTACAGAGGAAATGGATGCACAGATAAAGAGAAGTCCAGTGCTGCTCCTGGGTTGTGCGTTGTTCATTTTTTCTTTCTTTTTCCACTGTTTCTTGTTTTGTGAAGTGAAGTGTCTAAAATTCAGGTTCCATTTCTCTTTCTTCACCTTTTCCACATGTCTCTTTTCTTATCCACAAAAATGACCAGAGCCAATTTTTTTGCCAGCCCCTTTGGGCTCCAGTTTTTAACTCAATGACGATAAAAGAAGGAAATGCTGTGAGTCTTTTTTTTTTTCTTTCACAAGCGTACAGTACACGCACTCGGCCCGTGCTCGGTCCAACGCCCACCGTGAGTGTTTTTTTATTTGTTGTTTTTCCGTTTATTTCAATCAGAAGCATCAGTGTTACTTTGTCAGGACTTGAAGTTTTTGTTTTAATATATGCTGTTTGTGTATTATACCTAATTGTCATTGATATCTTGTTTTTTTGTTGTTGTCAATATTGTACATTTGTTTAGTTTTGTTCAGACAAAAGCCATTTCTTTCCTCTATGTTATGTCTGAGTGTCATGCCATGGTTGTGGTGTCGGTCTCTCATCTTTACACACATTTCAACAACACCTTTTCAAAATAAGCTGCAAAACTCATAAACCGTGTGTGAGAAATGGAGGCAGTGATCTGGACCAAACCTTCATGTCTGTACGGAGGTAGTGGCAGGGTACAGTATTGGAGTAGGTTCATGTATGGCCCACACAAATGGACCTAAATAAACCTGCCAAAAATGATGTCAAAGATGTTAGAGTGAGACAGGAGACGGCACAGATGAGGCAAAGAGCTGCAACCAGCTCATATTTTTGTAACTGATTAATCAAAGAGTCTTTTTTCTTCTTGTTGTTATGTAACTCATTCGCATTTGCTCCATAAAATGCAGACGTTGCCGATGGTTGTTGCCATATTTTCAGTGTAACGTTATAGATGTGCAACGCAGAAAAAGTTGACTTTTTAAAAAAAAATTAAATTCTTATTTAATTTAATTATTCTGTTAATAATTGTTGTCGACTAAATAATAATCAAAATTCGTTGCAGCCCAAGCACACAGTTTGAGCTAATGCATTCTGTTGTGCTCTATCTTCTGTTTTCTTCTAAACAGGATTTAGATAACAATGTTAACAATAATGTCCTATTGTGGACGAGCTAAGACTTGTGGAATTTGGAGATGGAATTTCAGTCAAATAAATTAATTTTGCCTTTTGTCCTTAGGCTAGCATTAAATATGAACTAAACAGAGTTCAACAGTAATCCACCATCCTTTGGCACAGCCGCCTGGTGAACTAAGCCATCAATAATACACACTAACTATTTCAGTCTTATCTTCCCTTGGCTCTGGCTGTGAAATGTAGCATTTTATCTTCCATTCAACCAGATCAAAAAGTAGCAACTGACTCAGACCGCGTCCGCATCCATAACGTTTCCCGATGGACTGTCCATTTCCTGATATTGAGTTTTTTGGGCCTATTCAGTAGCTTAACAACAATGTACTGTCTGCACTAAAGCACCGTATCTCTCCTTGCCCGATGCACCGGTTGGCCTTGAGGCGACTTCTGCTCTGATTTGTCCTTGAGTCTGGACGTCTCGGTGAAGATTTTATCCAGGCACGAAAAACCCGCAATTTCTTTGTCCTTTCATATCATTAACTGCCAACATAAAACACACACTCACACATACACGGGAGATGAAACGACTTCCTGGTCAAATATCCATAGCCAGGTAAAGTGTTGATATTTGTACTGGTCCACGCTGTCTATAATCTGCAAAAACAAAGACGGAAAAAAAAAAGAAAAGAAAAAAGTGAATGTACCTGTCACTGGAAGGCATGCTGTGCTTTCTCTGGTTGTTTTTGTTCCTATTTTATACACAGTGTATGTACTATTTATGACCATGCTTTTGGGGGTGTACATTGATGGAAAAGGATTATGTTATAAAATGTGTTATAAAAAAAAAGATATATTATCCTGTGTGCTGTTCATTACCTACTATCAACCATAGTAACATTTTAACAGGCCATCAAGGTCAGGTCACATTTGTGCCACAAAGCAAAGAAAAAAAAAATCACTCGTCAGCGCTACTCCGGACACACGTTTTTTTGGGGGCCAGATTCGTGTTACAGGATGTTTCCTTCTTTAAGAACACCAGTTCATCTGCTTATTAAAAAAAGGAAATGTGCAGCCAAACACCAAGAGTTGTGTAATACAGTATTTCCACAATGGGTGTTTTGGCAGGAAAAGGTGAAAGGGTGCAGGTTGACTCATTGATAACGTGTGTGGACAAAGTACAAAGTTATTAAAGTATTCTAAGTTATTCTAAGTATCTTGAACAAGACAGCCAAACCTAACTCTGTCTAATACAGCTGTTAGCCCCACCTGCACTCCTGTTAGGCAGGCTCTCTTTTATGTGGTTACGTCATACCGCTGTTAAGTTTCGGTTTAAACAAATGTTACCAGTGTTAGACTTCAAGACTTCAACTAGATAAGGAAGTCCTCCCTAAGTGCTCACAAAATCAATCATCTTGGTCCAAACCTGGTAAGGAGGACAAGTCCTTCACGTCTGGTTAAAATCACACATTCCCTGAGAAATAAAGTACATACATCATGCCTACAGACATGTGGGCGAGCCTGGAGGTGAGCAACTCAAGGCCACAATACTACAAGTATAGCACGAGCAGTTCTTTCTGGAATCAAGTCAGTTTCCTTAACCACTAAGCCACCATGACCACCAGCCAATATCCATACCTACTGTTTATACATATATATATATATATACAAAATACATATATATCAGTATTCACTGATATATCCATTATATACAGTATATTGTGTCGTATTTTGTTTCATGTGAATGAAAACATTTGTTGCTGAGGTTTTGTGAATGGAACAGAGACGAGGGGCAGGGGGCAGCGGTGGGGGCCACGTCTGCTTGTGCCTGTTTTAAATGTAGTTAAAAAGTAACTCCTGATGTTTTTGATGTTGTTTAATGCAGCAGAGACTCTGTGCTTTGTATTCCAGGGTCACAGATGTAGTTGCCAGATTTAACCAACTTACCCACTGGTCAAATAGCCTTTGTTGCCTGTTGACACAAAATGAAAGTTAACAAAGAGGAATATTCCACATTTTGTTGCCAACATGTAGATGCTGAGAGGCGTGCACACACACAGACACACCCACATAGAAAAATATGTGTGCATCAGTTTCCTTTCCTAACTGTTGAAACTCTGGTCGACTACATCGCACCTCCTCTGTCTGTATCATTCTCACTTGTTAATTGTGAACACTCAGAGGCAGCAGGAGTTTGGCTGTGACCGCAGACGTCGACAAACAACTGACAACCTTTCAATAAACTGAGAAAAAAGGTGAGATTTTACATTCAGTCTGATAGTCGATGTTGGAATGCTGCTAAAATTCTCCTTTTATTTAACTTCTGCAGATGTCTTTTCCCGGGAATATCGTTTACTTTGACCTTGAAACAACAGGACTGAGTATGTGACCGCTCGTTTTTATAATATATAAGTATTGAGTAATTGAATTCAGTCTGACTGATAGGAATAGTGGTTCAGAGTTTGAACAAACTTTTTTCCCCTGGTTTTTAGTTTAGAATTCATTTTAATATTTTTTTGTATATGTTTTATGTTTTTTAAGTTTAAGATTTCATTTTTGCATTTTAAAGGGCTTTTTAGGATTTTTCCCCCTAACTTTTAAAATCTTTATCTTTGAAGTTAAAGGTCTTGGAATGCTTCCGTTTATTTTTTGATATGTTGATATGATTTATGTTCTTTTCATCAACCTTTTCTTTTTCTTTCTTTTGTCAAAATTCTGATCTGGTTGACACAATACTGAGATTCACAAAAACCTAATTCTACCTGCCGGCCGGTGCTTCAGGAGTGTGATTTATACTCCTCTTTATTTTCCCTTATCTTGGTCTAGTTTTTCTTCCATTTTTCTTTCAGACACGCAAGTGTGTGAGATCGTTCAACTGGCTGCTGTCTGTGGAGAGAGGATCTTCAATGTCTACATCCTCCCTACATGTGCCATCAATCCAAAAGCCTCTGAGATCACAGGCTTTACTGTTAGCGGTGGTTTTCTGTACCGCAACGGGGTTGTGGTTCCCACCGTTTCGCTCTTCGATGCTCTTAAGTCATTCGTAACGTTCCTTCACTCCTTGCAGCGCCCTCTGCTGCTGGCAGCCCATTATGCACGGGGTTTTGACATACCGATACTTACCAGAGTCATGAATCAGCACAACCTCTTACAGCCGTTAAGAATGGTTGTATCTCAATATCTGGATACTTTAGAACTTAGCAGGGCTCTCTATCCCGAGCTGCCACGCTACTCACTGCAATATTTGGTTGAGGTTTTCTTGAAAAGGCAACATGACGCCCATAATGCTGTGGAAGATGCGAGGTTCCTGCAGGCGCTCATCCAGTACATGAGTCCTTCAAAGTTTAACACCTCCCAGTTTATTTATGAATTGTAATACAAAATGTATTAGCTGCAGAAGAAAACGGTGGAAAAATATGAATAAAAAAAGTAAATAATGTCGGTTAATCGTGATGTTTTTGACACGGTTTTAATGTGACTCAAATTTTGTAATTATTCCACTTCATTGTGACACACAGTAACAAAACCAACAGGTTAAATGTATTGGCATGCCAAATAAAAGATAATAAATAATATAGGTGCATAAAGTTTTATTTTTTCAGCAAAACTGTGTCAGTTTGCGGATTCCGAACGAAAACAAACAACGCAATTTATTCTGTCCGAAAAAAAATAACACGGAAACAATGACTATCAAGTAAAATGGAAGGACTGGCTCATGTTTAATTGTATTATTGATCTGAAAAAGTAAAAAAAAAAAAAGATGCGACGGAACATTTTCCAAATGTATTTAATCACATCTCTAAGTTTCATTACGTACGCCATCTTGTATATCGTTGAACTGAGCTGTTATTTTGAAAGGCTCGGATTTCCGGTGGAAATGGCTTAAAATTCGTGGAGGGAAATTTCCGTACTTGTTTCACGTCGACTCAAACGCACGTCCGTGAGGTTAACGCCAAAGAAAAACCACTCGGACTTATTGTGATGGACATTAGAATGTTTGTGCCGTAGTCATTGGCCTTGGACTCTTCTGATGTGGCGTGATGCAGCAATCAGAATCAGACGCAGAGATTTCTGAACATTCGCTGGTTTTCTTTGACCTGGAAACGACTGGACTGGGTAAGTAAAAGAGTATCGTCGTGTCGAAACGCTAGTAATAAGAAAAACAATTGTTTATTAGCGTTTATTAATCTTACATAAGAAACAAGAGTAATGAGTGGCCAACCGGTTTAAAAAAAACCCAGGTATATGAGTGGCCAACCGGTTTAAAAAAAACAAACAAGGTACCCGTCTTAGCCTAGCCGATAGTCACTGAAGGGTGAGTGTTCATTTAAATATTGCAACTTCAGACTTTATCTTAACTGTCAATAAACATGTTAACACTGTGAGTTGGTAGTAACAGGTTGTCTTCAAGGTAACAGGTTGTTTATTTGTAAAAGATAATCCAATTTTGACAAAACAAACCATGAAGCACCATGTCACCACTGTGGAATTCTGGATAAAAAAAAAACAAACAAGTATGGCGGAGGTAATATTGCCTCTGTAAAGCAGGGGTAACGGTTAACAATTACTTAATTTAAAGAGAATTTGGTCATTTCCATTTACTTTCTACATTAAAGGATACTCCAGCAATTTTCCAAAAATAATGCGTCTTTCAGAGTTTGATACTAACAGAATAAAGTCTAAAAGATGTTTTATTTTGATAATTTATTGATCCCTAATACTTCAAGGATTAGTGCAGTGCTACCAGTTCATGGTATTGGCAGCGACTGGTCAACCGTCCTTGTGTTTTGTGTTTGTTGCAACACTTCATTGTGAAACTGCATGGTCAAATTGTTTAGACTGGATCAAACATTATGGTGAGGATCAGGGCCTATTTTAAACAGAGCCTTTCAACACTAAATGGCATAACATTTACTTTAGAATAATAAAACATACCTGTCATTGCGATTTAACATTTGATTTAGCTGTATTTTGGTCAGGCTATTCTCTTAAAAACCATCTGAAGGTCAGTGTTGTCTGTTCAGGTCAGAGTTCTGACATTGTCCAGCTGGCTGCAGTGAGTGGAGGCCACTCGCTCAATCTCTACGTCATCCCTCGGACTCGAATGCATAAGGGAGCATCGAAAGTGACTGGTTTTAAGGTTCGCAGACAGAGGCTGTTTCTCCATCGCCAGTGTGTGCTTACCAACTCCCTGCGTGAGGTCCTGGTGTCTTTCATTGCTTTCCTTCGAATGCTCAGACGCCCGCTTGTGATTGGCCACAACAGTCGTCGTTTTGACTGCCGTTTGCTGGCTCGAGCTCTTGATGAACTGGACCTCAGGGCACTTTTTGAGTCATCCATTTCAGGCTGTGTTGATACACTTCCACTTGCCCGTGAGTTGCTGAAAGACCGCAGCCTACACAGTTTTCGACAGCAGAATCTGGTGAGTGAGCTGTTGGGTGTGGACTACAGAGCCCATGATGCTTTAGAAGATGTGCGGGCATTGCAGGCTCTCTATGAGGTGCTTCAGCCAACACCCGAGGTACTTAGGAGACACATCTTTACATTGGACACCATTGAAAGCAATGTGGCTGTGACTGCTGCCAAAAGTGAATCACCCTGTATGATGCCAGGTCAGCGCCCTCTGTGGGAGCACTTTAAAGAAACGGTGAAAGTAACGGAGAACAACAATAGAGAAGAATTCACTGGCATCCTTTACAAACCTTCACTGGAATCTGCAACCTAAAACATGTTGGAATACTCCTTGACCTCTTGTATTTTCTGCTGTTAAATCTTTAGACACCTATAGTAAATTAACCTTTAATAAATTGTGACCTTCACAAGATGCAGCTTCTGCTAATTTGTTGTTCGTGTGTACAAAAATAATATAATTATTTTGTTTTGGAAGTTTTATTTAAGTTTAATAAATGTGCTAAAAACCAGATGCTGTTTACTGTGTAGTGGGTCATTTTCCTAGACCACACGAACCAAGATTTTTACTAAGGTAGATTTTGGAGACACTGTTAACAAAGGTATCATATTTCTTAAAAACATGTTTAACACTCACAAAAAAGAGAAGACAGTTAAGTAACAGAACAAGGTTTTATTAAACCAGTTTTTACATTCATGTTAATGGTGGTCCCATGCTACAGCATCATCATATTGAACATTTTTATTGGAGAACTACCCCAACAATTAGTTGTAGTAGACCAACTTGGGTCACCTGTGCAAAACCTAGAATGTACAATATTGACTAAAATAAAAGTTGATTCTGAAATGACAGTGTGTAATAATATTGACTAAAATAAAAGTTGATTCTAAAATGACAGTGTGTAATTTAAAATAAAATTAAAATAGAAATTCTTTAAAATATGACTAAGGAAAAAAGGATGTAACAAATAGGGTTCTTGTTTTACACAGTAACATTATATTTTAAACTTCTGATATTCTTCCCTTGTTTAACCATTAAGGAACATAAGTGCAGTTTAAGTGCATACACTGCATTTAAGGAACAGGTATAGAAATCAATCATCAATATATCAACTAATATGGGCATAAATAAGGAGCTGGAATCTATTTCACCTTTCAAGTGATAATGAAAATATATATGTATATTTATATAGGACAGGCTGGAACTGCATTCATTTTAAATCAGTTAATTTAAGACATTTAGTTCAAGAAACGGTTACAAGAAAATCTATGAACTCATGAGAGCGACTTCAAGTCATCTCGACCAGTGCATTAACAGCAACATGCTGAACTTGTAGATTAAAAGTATAGTTACCAACATGTAGGAAAGTGGTCACCACAGAAGTTACACTGTTGATATAATCCCCTGGTTTCATTAAGGACAGGGCAAACCATATAATACAATTACAATTTAGTTATACTTTGAAATACTTCATATGTCATGTCATCGATGGATCAGTATAAACAAGAAAACATACAAATGTATGAACCTCGGGACTTCAAATACAGATACCTTGATTTTATAAAAAAAAAAAAACACTAAATGCAGCAATATGTTGGTTTGGGTTAAAAGTACTGGATAAAAAATAGTGCATTTTTTTTTTTTTTTTTTTTTTAGAATTTGCACTCTTCTCCCATTGTAGACATGCTTCTTTCAAACTAGTCAAACAACAGTTCCTTTTGCAGAACTTTCTGCTCTCAATGAATTCCCAGACATGCAGTAGTAAAAATAGGAAAGCAGTTATTCCCAGCAGCAGCGCCACCATCTTGTGACCAAAGGACTGTGGTAACTTCACAGTTAAAATCAGACGTGCACAGGCATTTCAGTAGTATTACTTAATGTATTGTCAAACTGTAGGTTTAGTTTTGTAAACCCATAAAGTTTAATATTAAATTTATCAAGCTAAGTTCAAAAGGTGTAGTTACATCATTGATTGTGATGGAAAACTGTTTTCCCCTCAACAGACATGCATGGTGAGTAAAGGTGTACAGCACAATTGTAAACATATCTCCAACCCTGTTTTTAGAAATAGGAATGTCAGGTGTTTTCCTTACAGAAGGGGTAGAATAACATTTACAACTGTCAGTGTAATTATATAATCACTGGATAGTCAGGACTAATAAAAATTATTTCTGGAGCTCTAAAGTAAAACCTCAAACTCACTACACACTATTAATGTAGTGGGTAATGCTTTTGAGATGCCAAAAGCCTGTGATGTCAACAGGTGGCAGTAAAGGCTTTCTTGACTTCAGCTTAAGGAAACATTCTTATTATGACCAGACCTAGTACTTAAACTGAAAGTTAAATTTATAAGATAAAATTTTTAGATTTATTTTTCTATTGAACTGGGCTTGAGTGTCAAAACTTTATAGGACAGTGTTTGTTTCACTATACAGTCTTACTGTTTATCAGATAAGTACCAATATCTCTGTAATGTCATGCAGTTTGACAGCACCATTATTGCATTGTTGTAGTACCAAACCAGGAACTGTGTTTAAAGTATTTCACGTTCCTGAATGCTGTATATATTCCTCACCCTGCCTTTATGAGCACCTAAGAATACATTTTGGTTGTGTGGACATGTCGGGGATTTAAAGCTGTACTTGAACAATTTACGGAAAAACCAGAAGTGTGTCAGAGCTGCTGGTTTTTTAAAATAAAGGACACTGCTGCTGGCTTAAACAGGGGTTGAGACACCAGTCCACACAGAACAACGATTGGAGCAGCAGGCACATACAGGCATCACCACTGTGCTCCTTTATTATGATACCTAATAAAAGAGTGCACATCAGTCTCAGGGCTCAGTCTTCACCTCGCCGAGTTGGACCAGGTCAGGGAAAAAGGTAGCACAAGTTTAACATACAGCCACACACTGACAACTACAGGAGGCAGCAGGCACGAAACATGTTCATCCCTGACTGTGAGGTTATGTGCAGGGAGACGCTCTCATTGGCTGACACAAACAACACCGTGCCCCGCCGCAGAGTGACATCAGAGAGAGCAGCGACGGCTGTGGCTATGGCCTCACCTTCGATGACCAGGAGGATGCTGGCGCTGTCGACTGGAGCCAAGGTGTACATCTTCACAGAGGGCGGGACCTGGAGAAAGAAGGAAACAGAGAGGTGATTGTTTTCAAAGATCTTTCCTTGTTCCACAACTATCTACCGTTTGGATTAGTAATTGTGCTGGAGACATACTACAAAACATGCTACATATATAAACAAAATAACTAACTAACCTGTATCCTCATAACAGTAAAGTCCGGAACTGGGGGGTCATAAAGTGTTACACATGGATCTGAGGCATCTTGAACACATGGGAAGATTTTAGAGGTGGTGGGCGCAGGGCTGTAGTTAAGCATTTCACAAAGAGTGTTGACGTCTATATATTTTGGTGTAAGGCCAGCTCTTACTGTGTTGTCTGAGCAAGCCATACACTCGATACAGTCTAGATGGAAAAGACAAAAAAAAAAGGAAAGTAGTGTGTGAGGGCGGTCTGCTCAATCAGTGAATTGACAACAAGAAAAACAAAAAATAAACTTTAGCAGAAACTGGAACAATCTGTGTTCCATTATGTTAGTATTTTGCTCATCCATGTGAACACAGTGCATGCGCTGACCTCCATAGAGATAGGCATGAGGCTCATTGGCTCCCAGGAACATGGCTTGACCAGGATCCAAGACCATAAGATTCAGGAAGTAGATAGAAAAGCAGCCAATGTCGCCAGGATACTGAGAGTGGAGACGGAGCAGCAGGTCACCGATGCTGCTCGACGTGTCCTTTCCCGCTGCACCTGCATGGATCAAACATCTGTGAAGTTGGACTGTGTTTAACACTTCTATGATTTTATGATTAACACACATCATGCAATGTACATACAGTAAGAATCCTGCGAGCTGAACCCACTATTAAATCAGTAGTTTTTTTCATGTTCTCACCTTCCTCAGTAACTCTCTTCACCAGCATGTTGAGCTGGTCCACAAACACCTTCTTCTCACAGTTCATCATCCTGGTGAAACACTTTTTCAGCGCCTGACTTGTGCGAAGAGCATCTCCCATGCTGCATCGCAGTTCCTCTGCTGCCTCATTGCCCACAAGAGCATGGAACTCAGGGACACCTGGTGGTCACACAGAGGAATACCAAATATTTACCCAATGTTCTTGACCTCATCATTTAATTTGTTGTAAACTTTCTATGTACTCAAGGGTTTTTTCGGCAATCAAAGAATAAATCCAGCTGATCTGTTTAACAACCTGTGTGACTTCTAAACTCACATTTAAGGAATCCCAGGATCTCCTCCACTGGTCTGAAACCACACAGACCATGGAAGCGGGTGAGGGCAATGGCCATCTCTGGCTTGTGGTTGTTGTCGGGATAGTGCTCCGGAAACTGAGCATTAAGACGAGCAGCTAACTCCTGTGGAAACCATAATTGCTGGTGGTTATAGTGTCTTTATATCCATAAAACAACAACATAAATGCTATTAATGGCAACTTTAATTATTGATGGCATGGTATTATGAACACTGGGGGAAAAAAACTTTTTTTATCATGGAATAATGTGGGTTTTGTTATCCATTTAGACTTTTGTGTTTGTGACTCACCCTGTTGGGATGGGCCTGTATGGACAGAGCTGTGTTGACAGACAGGACTTTAAAGAGAAACGGCAGCTGACCCTGAAAGGTGTCTTTAACCTTGGAGCCCAGGCAGGCAGGGAAGTGGGTGATCCACTGGCCCAGTGTAGTCTGTGCGATCCTGTTGTCTTTTATCTGGGCATCTCCTTTTGGGTGGGCACCCATCCACAACTGGAACAGACAGCATTTCTTATAAGGGCTATTTCAGGTCTCTCCATTAAGTGTATGCTATTGAACATCTGTTTTGGGCTGAGTATTATCAATATATGAGCTTACTTTTAGTTACCCAAGCCTTTTAGTTAAAGACTACTACAACAACTACTACTACTAAAGGGTCTACTTTGTTATGGTTAAATTACCCGGTGTGTATTTTTGAATTTTTTATGATTAATTAATAATTAATAAATTAATAATATTTAAATTGGAATTTGTGTAAGAGACAGGGCTTCTAAATAGGAACTGCCATTTCTTTACATAATTTTGGAAAACCTTGCCATACTGTACTACTGAGAACCAATGGCTACTGCATTTTTTCTTCGTGCTTTAATAGTAATGGTATAGAAAAGGATGTTGAACATGAAACTTTACCATCAAATGTTGCTAAACAGTACATAATACATTTTGAATAATTTTACAGCTATCTTCCCCATATATCTAAGGTTATCATGTGGGACGTACAATGCAGTCATTTTTGTCTTCATTAGACTGTGCTCTATAATATGTAATGTTAAAGAATTATATATTTAGCAACTCATGTGAACAACAGCATCTAAATCAACCTGTTCATCTCTTTTACAAGTAGATAATGTTAATGTACAAGGATTTCTGTTTCTTTTTTTGCTTTACAAAGCTGTATACTACTGCCTCCCCACCACCGCAGTCCGCATCACTGATTGCTGCTGCCAACTTCAGTCTATTTTCCCTATTCTCCAATAAATTGCTTACTGCTTGCTCCACAAAACACAGCATGGTGCACTGTATTAATCTAATCCTAAACTGAGGCCAAGAATCAAAACAATGGACAAAGAACTGGTCACACCATGCTGTACGATAGTGCATAGTGCGAGAACTGGTCACACCATGCTGTACGATAGCGAAAATGCGAAAATGTAGCAAAACTGGGGTCTAAAATTAGTTGATGCTCCGGGCATCCTTCCGTCATCCTTCCATTGTTCCTTCACACAGACTGACATTCTCTTTGCTCCTCCTGCTCTGTTCACATGCACCGGTCACTGCTATTCAAGAGGCAGAAATACACTGCATGATACACTGTTAGTCATACATGTAAATTAGCTTACGTAATGGATTGTTCTGTAACATTAACATATTTTTTCCATCTTTCTACTTTTATGTCACCAGCTACTGTAATTCATACTGTTAGTGAGTAGTTATTGAGTAATTGAACTCCAAAAAATTGTCGGCCACAGTCATTTAACCACAATACACACAATTCTATTTATGTGATCGTGACAGCCATGATCCTGTATACCACGTGACACTAAAGAGGCACATGGCATGTGAAAACTTCACTGTCGCAACAACCTGAACAAATGACCTTTATGACAAACTATGCAGCACTAGTGTGGCTAAATAAAGAAAGACTTATGACAGGCACAAGAACAAACCAGCACAACACCAGGTACTGTCTCAGGTACAGTTGGTTTAATGATGTCTCAGAAAACTGTAAAGAAGAAGGTTTTCAATGATGTTTCAGGGTTTAAAATGTCAAATAGAATAGTTTAAATTAGTTCGCATTATGTGCTATGAAGCCATTAAGGTTTTCCGAACCTGACTGAGCGAGAACTGTGGTGATGAAACAAAAGCTTCTTTGATATTCATAATGTTGACTTTGTCTACAGCACCATGAGAAGATTTGACTACTGAAATTGATACGATACATTCTGTAACACCAGACCCTGACACCAGAGTGGACAAGTGACTTTTGTAACAGACATTCTGACGTTTGAACAGTTACCTCAGCGTAAGGTTTGCCATCCTCTATGACAGCCAGTGGGTCGCCACCAACCACCAGCTTGGCTACTTCGCTGTCCAGTCCAATTTTCCCCCATGCATAGTTTTGCACAGCGCAGGTCAGAGGAAACACTGTAGATAAAAAAAGGTATATTGCCCTAATTAAAAAAAAAAAAAAAGCTGAACTGAAACAAGTCATTGTAAGACATCTACTGGTCAAACTCTCTGCTGTCTCAGTTGCAACCTGCCACCCTGCCTGTTGTAAACTTAATCCCATCTTAATACTCTTAATAAAGGAGTGGCTCAGGTTGGCAGAAACCACCCCGACTCTGTAGTAATATAGTAATTTCCATATTCATAATGGACATTCTTGGGAGGACCGGTTGGGGGGGCGATACATATTTTGCCAAAGATGCTCCAGAGTAAACTGGACACCAGGGCCAGCTGACAGTGTGCACTGCCCGCTGTCAGAAACACGCACAATAAACAGGTTAATATCCACAATACAATACAAGCAAAGTCGTGTACATTTACCAACAATGTTTGTTTCAGACACCAACTGCAGCTTTATCCAGTAAGCTGTAAGTTAATCACTATGGTCATGAGTATTTAGGGATTATTTAACAAAACCCGGTAAGAATGAGGCGGATGCTCGCCAAAAACGAACATCTCTCGGAGACTCGTCGCGGCGGAAAGGACGCTCAGATTCGGAGTCATGTAAAATATCCTCGGCTAAAACAGTCTACGTCAAGGGAATACTGACTTGGACGCGGTTGTGAAGGAGAAAATCTAACTCACCTCTCACTTCCTCCATTACTGCAACGTCGGCTGTCACAGTCAGGCCGTCTGTGACGTCACGACTCTCCCTGCTTTTCCCCACCCATTCGATTTCCACGTCCTCAAATTTGTAAACTTACAATATGTGTTCCTTAATGTTAACAATACTGAATTTGTTCATTTGACAATTATTTTTTTATTCAAATTAATGTATGGTGCATATATGTATAAGTTACTCTCTACTCTCACAACAATAGAACGATTTTTTTATTCAAATTAATGTATGGTGTTAAGTTTTATTCATGACTACTCTCACAACAATAGAACGAAAAAATAGATATAAATATTAAAACGAAAATTACGTTGCAGGTTTAGCTCATGCAGACCAGGGACCGAGAGTTTTTTTTCTATTATCTTTTTTGTACAGTGCTGTTTTTAGCTGAACACAAAAAGCAAGCCACATTATTTTTTATGCATACCCTTTTTTTAAAAAATAAAATAAAAATGGGGGCACTTGCTCTTGCACAAAAGATCCTAAAATATTTTCAGACGTAACATCTAGTCTTCAGATTATAAATTCAATGACTTGCAAATCCACAGGTGGCGCGCTTTTGCTTCCTGACAACGATGCGTGTCGAGTGACGTACGTTATAAGGCTGTGTCGGTGCGCACGCGCGGCCAACTTTATTCGAGGAAGTGGGTTGAGAGGCAGCTGAAGCGACACAGAAGAGTGTCGTTTATTTTGCACTTTTTGAGGACTAAAAACAGCCCTGCGACCTCTTCAACATGTCACATTTTGACAGCAACCCGTTCGCGGAGCCTGCCAGCGACAACCCTTTCAATGTAAGAACCTTTGATAGAAGTTTTTAAAAGTACGGTTACGGTTCTGACATATCGAAGGAAGCTTCTTGAACGACGTGGGGGCGGAATGTACGTCTGCAATCCTAAACGTCATTGGTCAAACAATTTGAATAGACAGGTTATCAACCATTCAGCGGGCTGGTATTGATAATGGGGCGGGGTGTTCCACTGGTTGAGTTGCAGGAAGTCAAAATGGAAGAATTCAACTCAGCTCTACCTGGAGCTGCCCGTTTTATATTTGTGAATTTACATAAATTGTATGAGCATTCAATTTGTTAAATGTGTTACAGTCCGATTTTTGAATCGATTTATTCAACCTTGATGATGCAGGAGGAAACATCCACGTTGCGAAATATGTAATTCTACATTTGCAAATATAGTGGGTTTACGACTGCATTGCTTGTGTGTTTTCCCCAAATGTACAAAAAAAAAAACCAAACAAAAATAAAACAGTCAGTCAATAACTGAAATTTGACACTAGGTATTAATGAGCCAAAAGATAATATTGTTGTTAATGCTCGAGGTGAAAATAGCTACATATTTACTTTACTTGCGGTTATGTACCTAAGCAGAATGTTCTACTAGGTTTTAGGTTCAAGTATATTGGAAAAAACCGGGTCTCTTGTCTCTTTAGTTAACTCATCATCATTACAGCTACTAAGAGTGCTCATTTTGAACAAAACTTCCATCAATTCTTCAAACCCACCATTTATTTTATATGACATTTGTTACTGGACACTGTTAGCAATAGTGTGTAACGCAGGGCCTCTGCTCTCTCCGTCTGCTCTTAAGAATGTATGAGGTAAGTAGACAGTGAATTACTTTATGCTGTTCTATTTGTTTAGATTTTATTGCACAGTACGAACACAGTAGCCAATAGTGTAGCCTTTATCTGTATGATGTGTGCTTTGTGACCTGAAAACACAGTTCACAAGATAATTCTACTGTATGTTCTAGCACCACATTAAGTACAATTGCTATCAGACAAAATGTTGACAAATAAATTCTTATCTTTTACCAGCATACTAACAAAATCTTTTTTTTACTGACTTATAACAGTTAGTTTTATGGGAGTACATAGACTGTTGTGTTTTTGTTTTGTTTTTTGTTTGTTTGTTTTTTACCTAAGTTGAACAATAGATGTGACGTCAGCGGTGACCAGTGTTTGACTTCTGGGTGTGGAAGTGGCTGAATAAATAACCTCTTAGCAGCTGCAATATTGTTAATATGTACCAACCACCTGTGGGTATGTTGTGATAAGTAACTGGTATTTGAAACAAGTTTCAGAATCTTCAATCATCAACAAACTGAAAATGGTTGGAAAGAAACACATTTAGAAGAATTTCCCCTTGACATTCATTCATTTGTTGACTGGAATTTGACACAAAAACATAATTCAAATTGGATTACTAACATCATAACTGTAGATAAAATGCCGACATGGGCCAAGCCTAAAATTCAAAGGTCGTTGCAGCTCATTGATATACTAATCAAGTTTGTGTTTCTTGCTGGAGGTTGTCTGTCACCTTAAACCAACGATGTAAAAGATTTTCACCATTTAATAATGTATTTTTATTATGTCAACGGGCAAGGAGGAAATCTGTTTCCTGGGAATATGAACAGGTGTCTCTTGAAATTCAGACAGGTCATAAAAAAAGATGCCAGTTTTCTCTTGGTTAATGTTTACCACCCGAGCCTGACTCCTTGTAATGGCTTAGTTCATTTAAGCCAATGATACATCGTGGCCTCCAGCAGTTAATTATGCAATAGTTTAATGTTATTGTACAACAAGCTGTCGACATTATGCCAATGTGTTAAAGATGGCTCTCC